GGTGTTTTATGAATGATTTAACTATTCTGCTCAGCTCTGGCTGCTGCAGACTGCAGGGGCAGCTGTGACTGGCACACAAATCTCTGCCCTGGTATCTGGAAACACTGCACAGAACACACAGTCCCCCTCATATACAATCATCATTATAAGGAGAAAAAAAGACAATAACTTAGCATTGAATAACAACTAAATAAGGCATTATTATATCATGTAATTAATTATAACTCAAGTAATATTACAAGGCGAGGGTACAGGGGGTCAATACAACAGTTAAATCATAAGATTATAGATGACTTATTTACATTTTAAGAAGTAACATCTTGTTAATGTGTTTTTTCAAATAGTCCCAACAAAGATATGAATACAACCATTTTTATAAAATAATAATCTGTATATGTTTTTGATGAAATAAAGGAAACATCGCAATTATAAATTCCATAAAAAAAAAGAAATTGGTTTCAGTGTAAAGCATTATCCTGTATTTCTGTTGTACACACTTGATCTTATGTCTGTCTTTACCCCTGAGAGCGCCTATCAAACACTGGAGATAAATAGGCAGTTTTACCCAGCATGCACCTACCATTCCCCTGGTGAGATCTATGTAATTGAAAACAGTGAGGCACAGAGATCTCCCCATTTTCCTTCATTGAATGTTTAACCTTTAAAGACCCCTTTTTGTCGTTGTTTGAGAGGGACAGGGGACGTTTATGTGGAAAAAGCAGCTCAACAGTTGATGCCTCATAAACGTGGTGCACATTATCTGAATGCAGAAACCCCGGCGATTATTTTGAGATTCAGCACAGCACTACCTTAAAAGACATTTACTGTATAATTCATGCAAAAAACGTAATTTTTCCCAAGGCTGCATGGGATTAGCATTAAGTGGGAATGTATGTAAAGGGTTGACTTGCGGGAACATTCATTTTAATTTAGACATCTCGAGGTGAGAGGTCAAAGGACCCCTGTGAGTATGGCCAGGCATTTCCTCGCTAATGTAGTCTAACTTCAACCTTAAATGGTTTTGAAGTCAGAATCCAGTCAGTGATTGTCTCTCAGCATAAAGTAACATGTCAAAGAAATTAATAGTAGAATATAAACAGTTGCTGTTTTCTGTTTGGGTAAATAAGTTCAACGATTCACTGAAATATATTTTTTGGACCTGGAATAAACAGAACCTAAGTAAAAGAAAAAGGAACCTGAACGCGACATCATTCATCTCACTTTTAGAGCCTACACCCCTAGAGGTTACAACTGTAAATGTCTGAAATATTAAATGTCAGTGTAAGCCACTAGGTGCTCCCTAATTATGTGGCTCATAAAAGCGTATTATTGACATTTACCTTCCTTCCTCTTGGTGTAGTATGCTGCAATGTAGGTAGCCCTGGGCATTGCCAGGAAAAGTACGGCTTTTGAACTAGTTTGTATTCTTCTTTCACTCAGGTGCTTCTTTTATCTTGGCCTTTACCTGCATGTAATAAGCGCTCACTGTGTCCTCGTGGTGTTTCTGTGATGATCTGGAGAATGTGTGTCTGCAGCAAGAGAGTTATTGTTCACTCTAATGGGTGAGAAACCCCTGCAGCATCAGGACTAGAAATCAGAAAGTTGAGTGATGGAGGAGGGGGCGGCTATGGTTGTGTGTGTACAAAGTGCATATAGGTGACTATGTGTGTAGTGTGTGTTTTACTTTTGATGTTGTGCAGTGACAGTAAAAGCAGGAGCAGGTTTATATGTGAGCATCTGTTCTTGCTGTCATGTGAAATACAAACAAGCAGCCGGACTGAAGACAGGAACACGATGCTGAGGGAGGTGAAGGGGGAGGTGAAGGGGGGGGGGAGAAGTAGAGAGAGAGGAAGGGGAGACACATGGGAAACAATTCCAGAGAAGTAAAGAGACCTAGATATTTGTCTGTGTAATATTATACTGCTTGAGCAACATATTTTCTTCCCTGTTATGCAAATTGGACAAATTGAATCTGAAAAAGAAGAAATATAGTGATGTGCCGAGTGTGCGGATGATTGAGAGGTCTCTCTACACGCGCAGAGACACAAATGAAATGAATCAGAGAGACAGGGATCGCTGCAGTGGAGGATACAAGGATGCTTAGGCTTGATATACTGTATAGTAATGCTGGTAAAGGAGGGTCGTTTTAAAGAGATTTATGGAGAAGACTGCACACAGAAAAAGCATGGTTTGACAGACAGAGGGAATAATTAAGAACCCGAAAAACACAGGAAACTGTACACAGAAAAAACGCACATATGCAGAACCTGAGAGAAGTGAGGGGGAGGCAAGGAGAGAGGTAGAGGAAGTCCCAGGAGACCTATTGTGTCCGATGCTTTTACTGTGGTGATGATGCACCCTGTCGCTATTCCCCTCCTCTCATTAAAGCTTTATGAGGCGAGCTTTGCACACACTTTATTACAATGACGCCACTGTCTGGCACATTCCTGCCTTGCGGCTGTTGGTGGTGGTGGTGGCGGGGGGGTAGCAGGGAAACAAGCCCATGGAGACGTACATCAGAAAGGGAAACATGGGGAAAATAACAGATATGGAGAGTCAGAGAGGCAAAGCCAGAATCACAAGGTGGAAACTAAGGGTATTTGAGGAGGTGAATGATAGGCGAGGAAAACAGGGAAAGTAGATGAGTAGAGAGTGAGATGTACATAGAGATGTTTGTTATGTGCTCTGGGCCTCTGTGTGTATGGTTGCAGAGGTCTTGGTGTTTAAAAATAGAATGGTTTGGGATTAACACTATCAATATTTCCTTATAGTTTCGATGGGGACCCAGGAGGTGGGTGGAACATAAAATGTGCAGACAGTGTTGTCACAAACTGCATCTAGGCCATTTGTTTCAGTCAAGTTTAAAAAGAAATTCATCATTCGACATGGGAGACGCAATACACTCCATGTCACTTCAATACTTGCTTTTGTTTTGCTGCCTTCCTTCAGTTTTTGCTCTGTGCCCTAAAACAGCTGGTCCCAGAAACACAATTTAATTCAGAAACAAGGGAATACCATTTGCCTTGACGATGCTGTCAAATAAATTCAGATGTGATTCATAGACAGGATAAAGACAGCATTTCTCCGCCATCACAAATAAATGGAAGGTATAATCAATCAAACTAAATATGAGGAAACATCTTAACTGTCTCTGCTTTCTTTTTGCTTCAATCCTAGTCATTTCGCTGTTATTTAGATTTGAGATTAGTTTTCTGAGCACCTCATTATAATGTCGAACTCAATGATTTAGTGAGAACATCTTTGTGCATTCCAGGTACTGAACTGTAAAATATAGCACCTGTCATAGTTCATCACACACAGTCTCATCTCCATCGCCATCTCTCAAGTCATGTTGCTATGATCTAAGCTATCAAATTAAACCTGGATGTGCAATAAAAATCATCCTGGAAAGCACTAAGTTTGTTGACTTTGAGGACGCAATGACTCAGCTCCTACTGAATGACGCATGCTACGTACGTATGCTAGTTCTCTGAATTGAAGACATTTAGCTCCTGTCATAATCTTAGGCTAAACCCCTGCCTTATCGCCTCCTGGGTGCAGGGGCCTTGGCTTTGTTTAATTGCCACGAGCCGAAAGCGTCAAAGCTGCATCTGCCTCAGTATATACCCCCACCGAGGCTTATAGCTGATAATGGAATTAATCTGAGTCCCAGGAGGAGGGAGAGAGGGAGGAACAGAAAAGAGGTGGCAGTCGCAAAGGGAGAGAGGGGGAAGCGATGAAGGAAAGTGGATGTTTGAATCTGAAAGAAAGAGGATGGATGCGGTGTCCGCGAGGGGGGGAAAGGTATGGGATGTAGTGATGCTGAAGGGGATCAAGAAAGGGAGAAAAGGTTACAGTGATGGCCGGCTGTTGCCAAAAGCAAAGTCTGCAGTCCCCCTGGCTTTCTGTTTACTCCAGTGTGACGTGTTACGGGGTGGAGAGTGAATTATGACGCAGGATAGAGCTCAAGCTCAAAACATGCTTGCCTGAAAGAATCTAGCCTGAAAGGATGAATGGGGCTGAAACAGAAAGGAGAGAGCGGAGGAAATAAGAGGATGAAAGAAAAACAACCAGTAAAGAGTGTAAAAAGAAAAATGAGTAGTCACTTCATTTGCTGAGTCGTAAGAAAGCGAAACACGTGTTTGTGTGCACGTTTCTTTTTTTGTGTTAAAACATAGTTGTGATGAGGCCGCACTGATGAACGACAAACCGTAGCAGAGGAACGATTTTTGAATAAGCGCGATAGCGGGGGGTGTCGGTGCTTTTCACTCAGCTCTGTCATGGTTGAAAGCTGCGGGGTGTTTGAAGACTGAGTCCCAGCGTTGTAGGAGAAAATTACTTCACATTTGAAGCAGCTTGGTCAAGGGTTTTTTATCTGCCGGTGTGTGTATATGTGTGTGTGTGGGCATGGATGACTTTTAAGGATGTTAGGCTCCAAGCAGGTGGGATTATTTGACTGTAATTTCCTTAACAACTGTGTAAGCAACCGCGCCAGTTTTGCTAGTGGGAACGATTTGGTGACAAAAAGTGTTAAATTGCTTGCCAGGGGCTAGTAGGGTTGTCTACTTTTCACCCATGTATGTGTGGATGGTTTTGCTTGTACTAAAACAGAGAGATCTTTTATTTGAATCCACAAATATGTCGCTTTTAGTTTTGGATAAAATTAAGATTTTTCAGGCTTTTAAAAAACTGATTGATGACTACAGTATTTCAAGATTTATCTGAGTTTGATGAGACTTTGTTTTGGTAAACCACTTACATACCGTACCACTGAGCCTAGTTAGCTGAGAGTCACTAAAACTGTTTAAATGTTGAACCATATTCCACATTGTGAATTTTAATTAAGCAACATGTGTCTTTTCCCTTCCTTCCTCTTATTTGCACATTTTTCTTATACTGTGCATTTGTGTTTTCTAATGCCTCTCCTCTTTTTTTACTTCCTTCATTTGAAATCCCTCCCCAACAACCCGCCCTCATTTTCTCTTCCTTCCTCACATCAGTCTGTTCTCAGTATTCAAGAGGGGTCTTCGCCATCTTTGGCCTTTACGATAAGCGCTCGGTGAACACGCTGACGTCGTTCTGTGGGGCCCTGCACATCAGCCTGGTGACGCCCAGCTTCCCCACCGAGGGAGAGGCTCAGTTCACCCTGCAGCTCCGGCCCTCCATCAGAGGGGCTTTGCTGTCACTTCTGGATCATTATGACTGGAGCCGATTTGTCTTCCTCTACGACACAGACAGAGGTAAAAGCACTATAAAGAATACATTAACAAGTTACATTGAAGAGTTGGTGTTCCAAATAAAATAACAAATGTCAAAATATTGGATATCTTTAAATGTATTTTTTGCGAAAGTTCTTTGGATTTTGTATAGGATTTAGAATGGGTTTCCATATAAACAGGAATAATCCTCCAGGGAAATCATCAATTCGTCCAGTAATATTGTTGGAGCCTTAACGGATTGTTCCTTTTATTATCCAATACAATATAAAGCACTATAAAGCGTTATTTCTGCAGCACAAGGGACAACAAATAATTATACGTTTATAAAATAAAAGTTAGAAAATAAGTAAAACAGAAACTATACAAGAGCAATTAATCTCCGAACTACAAGGCAAGCCGTTTATATAAGTACTCACAACCAGTGTTGTTCATAAGCTAATAATGGAATAATTACTATCTCAAGTGAGGGTGTGAAGAGTACAAAAGAGCAAATACATTAGTTATTTTTTCTCTCTGGGTTCAGGGATTGAAGGAAGAAATTGCTCGAATTTAGTGAGTCAAAGTACTCCACCAGTTTTAACATCAAAGTGCAGTAGCAGTTTATTTTAAACCCTGTATGATTCAAAAGAAAAGGGTCAGAGGCATCTTGGGGGATTATAGGGTAGTACGCAAAAGGGGCTGCTACTCAGTATTATAGTCTGCATTTACTGTATACCAGAGCTGTCCAAATGAATGTGACTGCAGTGAAGATGTGTCCTTATGGTACCCCCAGAGATTAGTCAAGTCTGATAACAAGACCTAACTGAGTGTATATATACTGTCTTCTATTGCTGGCCTTAAATTAAACAGTTAAAGGACTTTAAAACAGATTTCCAAATTAGCCTGGTTCCAAATAACTTTCTACACATGAATAATTATCCATAAATGTGGGTTCAGTTTGAAATGACGCAACAAAATTATAATATCATTATATCAAGTCGTAAGAATCTCTTTAAAGGTCTGTTTGCCTGGGATTATTTGGCCTGAATTTAACTCCCAAATGAAGCCTTGTTTTCTTGTTGAAAAAGTACAAAGGTTGTTCTTTTGGATATTTGCTCTCCTTATGTAAGGATCCAGCTGCAGAAACAGGAGTGTAATTTGGCAACTTTGAGCCAGAAAGTCGGGTTTGGCCTCAACTTCTGCAGCATTCACCTGGCTTTAATTTAACCATCCTATCATACACTGCACGTAAGTTAGGGGCCAGGCACAGCTGACGCCCTCGGCCCCTAACCACTGTCATGGGAATGCTTGGCACGTTATCTCTCTCCCTCTCTCTCACACACACACACACACACACACACACACACACACACACACACACACACACACACACACACACACACACACACACACACAACACACACACACACACACCACACCACACACACACAACACACACACACACACACACACGCTCAGAACAAGTCCCCGCCACAGGGAGAGATAACACAGGTCAATACATGACACAGAATCCGCTCAAACTAAGTCCCCGCCACAGGGAGAGAAACACAGGTCAAACATGACACAGAATCCCCAGACCATGGTATAGTGGCGTGTTAGAAAATCAGTGAGCTGCACAGTGTGTGTGTGTGTGTGTGTGTGTGTGTGTGTGTGTGTGTGTGTGTGTGTGTGTGTGTGCTCTGTGCTTCTGCCAGCCTTTTTTTCTTCCTCTGCACCCCCCGGGTACTAACCCAGACAACTAGGAGCATAGGAATAAAAAGGAGAGACAAGGGGAAGCAGGAGGGTTAAGTTAGGTGATTCAAGCCTGTGAGAGAGCCTAAAAGAGAGAAAGAAGGAAAGACAGGTGCGAGAAATAATAATAATAAGAGGACAAAGTTGAAGTAGATGAGAGGCACCTGAGGGAGGCTGGGGGGAGATTGCATTAGGGACAGGAAGAAGTCGTAAGAGGACAGACATGACTACAAGCCTTTGGGGATATACAGTAGCATATTACAGGAAAGGGGGTAAAGATGGAGATAAAGGAGGGAGAAATGGAACGGAGGATGGATGCCTAGAGTTTAGACTTTGCTCACCCTTGACTTGGCCATGGCAGGGTCCTTCATTATAGGCTCCCATCAGGCCCTGCTGCCGGTAATGTGCTGGAAAATGGGCAGTAACACTGATATCTGTTTTATGCTCACTGCTCTGCTCCACAGACAGCCTGCAGACACACACTCACAAACACAAATTGAGTATGTCCAGAAACCTGCACATGAGCATACAAATGCAATGTTTATACGACATGCAGTAGATGTATGTAATAAACATCTGAATGTGCCTTAATGGATAAATAAGGCAACTGTGGCACAGGGGGTAAAATAAGTGTATACAGTATATCAGAGAGTCACTGATTTGAATCCAGTTCTGCAGTCAACATATCGTAGTGTCCTTGGGCAATATTCTTAACCCCATAAGGGATCCAGATAAAAGGGTCAGCTGAGTGAAATGAATTATAATGCAAATTCAACAGTTCAAATGAACATGTACACATAAACTACTCTAAGACTAGTGTATCACTGAACATAAATACAATAATTTAGGGCTCAGACAAACCTTTTCACAAAATCTCTCTGTGGCAGGAATGGTGAAAGAACAAGCTGAACACATGAATATACTCCACACAGAAATACACTCACATTCCCACATACACACCTTGATTACCGAGGCTTCAGCTGTGCTTTCTGTTTCAAGTCAAGCAGTAAATTGCTACCTCCACATAAGCAGAAAAATAAAACGGATAACAGTTGGAACTGTTGCGCTGCAGTGTGTGTGTTTCATTTTGTCTTGTTGTGAGTGTCTGTGTGTGTCAGTGTCATAAAGACATACGCTGTGTGTATAAATGTGACTTTGAGTCAAGTGTGAAATTATTCAGTTTTTTTCCCAACACAATCCATTCTAGCTCAAAGCAGATTCAACCAAATACTTGGAGATTTGATAGAGATTACAACTATCCTCATGGTAACATTCAGTAGCTGTGTGCCAATAATGTGATCCTGGGTTGTCTCCCATTTATGTTATTTCTTCCACTTCCCCGTATCATTTATCTTAATTCATTATTGCTTGCGTGGCCACCAGCTGCACATAAATGTGAAACGTACCCTATATCACGTAGAGAGTCACATTCACCTGATTTAATCCTCCATTACTGTATGGGGAAAAAAATGTCCTTACTGTGTTTGGTTCTAGAATATCAAAATGATGAGTTGATTGAAGTGGAAGCGTGTTATCAGATCAAGTGCATTTTAATCAAAGTTAACTTCAGAACAAGAGGCATGAGAAGTGTAATGTCAATGAAATGTCACTATCAACAGTCTCCATTGTGTCGCCACATAACTCTTTGTTCTGATAAGCTTTCTGAGCTGTTTGATAAAGTGACATACAAGAAGGAGTGTTGCTTGAGTGCTAAGTGCTTTGGCCCCCTTTTGAAGAGAAAACATTACTGTGTTGCTTTTTCAAATAAGATGGACTGATACATCTGCTGGATATCATTTCACATCAAAGATTTGGGAAATACTGGTGTGAAGGGGCCCTATTATGCTCATTTTTGGGTTTCATTGTATTTTGTGCCTCTTCTGTGACATGGGAACATGCTTTAATGTTCATAAAGTGCTTTATTATTCTCATACTGCCTGTGCTGCAGCATCTTTTTTCACCCTCTGTCTGAAACCAGAGCCCAGTCTGCTCTGATAGCTAGCCGGCTCTGTTGTGATTGGTCAACCGCTTCGACATATTCCACCCCTTAGCCTATCATGTACAATGTGTTTGAGCGCTAGCCAAAATAACCATGAGTGTTACATAGTGATGTCACTACGTCCTTGAAGTAAAAAAAAAAAGGACTATAATTGAGGCGTGTCAGGCAGAGGGGAGTGTGTGGGAGACCAGACCATTTACATGCACTACAGGAAACGGAAAACCAAAGAAAAGCATAACTTGCAAAAAAATGCAATATATTAGAACCCCACATGCCAAGAAAACAGTATTAATTCTCTCTTTCTCCCTTTTCCTCCCTTTACTCTCTGTTGTCTAGGTTATGCAATACTGCAGGCAATTATGGAGAGAGCGGGGCAGAACGGATGGCAGGTCAGGACACACACACAAAGACACACAGATTCCTGGAAACGGGCAGGAATGTGCAAGGACACTCATCATCTCATGTTAAGCCACCACACTTAATTACATCAATGTTTTTGTACTTCATTCCTCAAACACAATTCTTAAAAAAATGTTGCCGTGTGTTCATGACATTTATCCGATACTGTTGTGTTTGTTATGCTTACACACACTTCCTGTATGTATGTATATATTTTAACCCAGGTGAGTGCTATCTGTGTGGAGAGCTTCAATGAGGCTGCATACCGCCGACTCTTAGAGGACCTGGACCGACGTCAGGAGAGAAAATATGTTCTTGACCTGGAGCCTGAGAGACTACAGAGCATCCTAGAACAGGTAATATCATAATACTTCAAGCCAAAGTTACTTTGCACCGGACAGAAAATATGAAGCTGCTATACATGAGAGAAGTAATCTGGCGGGAAAAGCACCTTATATCAAAATGCAACCATTTATGAGAAGAAATAGTATTCTTGAGCTTGTGTGCCGTATAAATGGTAGGATGAAAAATGTACTGATTAACTCGAGAATGTACTTATAAGTTGAGTTCAAATTAAACTTTTTTATGTTGTGGTTATTGACGGCTTTTGCTGTGATTATTGCTGTACATTACATAGTGCCTTACTAAACACTGTAGTGCCCAGCTAGAGCACACAAAAGAAAGAAAGAAAAACCCTGCTAGCTTACTGCAGGCACAGGATGATATTTGAAAATGATCTGGAACCTGAAAGACCCTGAAGCATTTTAGATCATGAGATACTGCTTTATATTGAGACCACACTATGGTTAAAGATGCACTCTTACTATCGCTCAGATTCTAACAGACAGGGCAGAGATTACATAATTGAACTGGACTTAACAGCTCTTAACACTGAATAATGAGCTGCAAACACACCACAATAAGCCACAGACAACAGAGAACGCTGTTTTGGGAAGTAATTAAAAGCAGAACCTTTTTAAGAAATTCAAGTTATCTTGCGCTGCCAGTTATAGCACCCCATATTGGTTTTTTTCACTGCATTGCTGGTGTCTGTCTGCCTGCTGACTACTTCACTCAGCCAGTCACCACAGCACTCCTTATGCTTTCTGACATCTGGAGAGAAAACAAGGTTTTAGTTTATCCCTGGAGTTCATAACAGGGAGTGAACAATGTGTCTTCTCCAACAGCTACTTCAGTGTATGATTGCAGTAAACACACCATACTGTCCACTCAGATACAGTGAGTGAGTGAGTGAGTGAGTGAGTCACCTGTCATCACATGTGATCCTCTGTCTGCATATATGACAAACTCAGTGTAACAGCTAAACACTAGTGCTAACATATAATTGGCTACCCCTCCCACACATACACAACTCTCATATTGCTAATAATGCAGTATATACCAGTGCACAATATACGCAAAAATAATATACACACCAGCTTTCGAATACACTTACTCATACAACACACACACACACACACACACACACACATACATACATAATGAGACAGACACTCGTACTCAAACACACGCTCCCAACAAAGTGTGTTCTGCAGTGCTGGCATTGGCAAGCGCCCATGCTCTGAGACAGAGACTGCTCTGTTTGACTGCTCCTGCCAGCTGCGATCTGTGTGTGTGTGTGTGTGTGTGTGTGTGTGTGTGTGTGTGTGTGTGTGTGTGTGTGTGTGTGTGTGTGTGTGTGTGTGTGTGTGTGTTTCTGTGTGCGTGTTCATGGGAGCATCTGTATGTGTTAGTACTTTGCTATTGATATTTGGCGAGAGAAACAGAATTAAAAATATCTATGCAATTTATTAATTAAGTTAAGGCACCCCGCTAATTTGGAGAGCCTTTTTCCTCTTTTGTCAAAACTCTAACAATGCTTCATATCTTATTCTACATCCCAATGTCCAGATGTAACACAGATTTCTAAGTTGAGTAACATTAAACTTGACTTCCCTACTATGCCATACTGTTAGCCATGCAATTTCAGTAGATGGAGTGGATCATCTTGGACGTGGGTTTGTTGTTGGGATAGCTGAAAAGCGTTAAAAAGGTGTTTTTATATGTTCCCACTTATTATATCTACAAAATACTATTTTGTGTACAAAAAGGAAAGGCTTTGTCTTTTTATTTTATTTTCTATAAAGCAATCATCAGTTATCCCAAAGCAAGTTAAATCATTCTTCCTGCACGACTTGGGGTTTTTACATGAAGTTGGAATACACAGGGTTTTGTGTGTGTGTTCTTTATAGAATACTTTTATTGGAGGTTATGCTTGAAAACAGTCTACATTGGTGAATAAAAGCAATGTTATTTCCATTTTTCTTACAATAACAACTTTATAGCAAGCTGGACGGATTAACACAGCCCCAACGGAGCCAACACATTGCAGCAGCTCTCTAAACGTTCCAAGAGGCAGAGCCAGTGTGGTACCACGGTCCTCACAAGCTCATCACTCTGCTTTTAATCAGTTTGACTATAACCAAAGCCACACATGGGAGGGAGTCTCTTTATTATTTGTAGATGGACTCCCCCTCCCATGCTCTTAAACTAAATTGAAACCAACTTTATGTTATCAAGCATGGTAATTCAATGGTGCATCGTTTAAAGTGAATCCTAAACACTACATGCATTATCATTTGATAGCAAAGACATTTATAATCTTTCTCTGTTTTTCTTTCCAGGCTGTCAGTGTGGGGAAACATGTGAAAGGTTACCATTACATCGTAGCCAACCTGGTAAGAACCTTTGATAACATTCCTTTGCTGTGTTTGTTTTATTTTTCAAGATGTCTAACAAAAAGACAAACAAACAGGACCAATATGAAGTCTTAAAAATTGGAATAAGCAATAAAAATACAATCCCTGCTGTTAAGCTATTATCATAAAAAAGTGTTTTACTCATCCGAGAGTAGATTTTTTTTTTGCGGTTATTAGCAGTAAAATAAACCATGTTTCTTGGTTCCATATTGATCTTTTTAAAATTACCTCCATTGTCCCTTTCACATTATCTCTCCTCAACAAAGTCAGAGCTGCATGTAGCAGCTGGAATTGTCTTTCACCACATGAAGTATCGCTTTAACCTTAATCTTTAAAATCTGTTCCACCACAATTCTCTTTGAAACTGTTAAAAAGGGTCCATTAAGCTCAGGTCAAGGATAGGCTTTCAGCAATTAGCATCCATCACCCAAAGATCACCCTCACATGTCTCCACCTCTGCCTTGGCCTGTTCCCAAATGGATCCCTCTTCAGGAGCACTTAACTACGAAGTGTCACTCATCATGAGCTCACTCTCTCAGCTGGAGAAGTCACTCCATATTCAGTGGGGGTACAAATAATCAAATAAACGTTTGCAGTTTGAGAAAATATGATTTTTGTCAGCAGAGGTCCACACAATGTCAGAGGATTTTGTAGTACACTTCCACTCTGTGATTGCAACATCCTATGTTTCACCTCTACATCTCTCTGTCTCTCTCTCTCCCTCTCTCACTATCTCTCCTTCACAGGGATTTAAGGACATATCTCTGGAGAGGTTCATGCATGGCGGTGCCAATGTGACTGGTTTCCAGCTGGTGGACTTCAGCAGGCCTATCGTTATTAAACTGATGCAGCGCTGGAACAAACTGGATCAGAGAGAGTACCCGGGATCTGAAAGCCCACCTAAGGTGATCAAATATGCTGTCTCATCCTTAAACATAAGGAGAGGAACAAGCTGCCACTACCTTAACAAATATCATTTTTAATTGGTGCAATAGCGGGTTATGTTATGGAAATGTTCTACCTTAGGCCACTTCTCTTTCAGGAAACAAAAAAGCAGAACAGTACTCAATTAAGCCTTTTTCCATGATATAACACATTGGTACCATACAAAACACGAAGATATTTGCAGTGAACGCACACGCACACACACACATTGAGTCGTCGTGACATTAGTGTGGAAATTCTTCTTCATGCATGAAATTCACTATGGAAACCAAATGTGCAGCCTCTTTACACAGGTAACCCATCACAGGGTGATATGCTGCATTTGAACCATTCAGAGTGTGATATGGTGCATTTGGTACAGCTTCTAAGCCAATCAGAGTGTGACCTCAGGCTGTTGGAGAGGTGAATTGGCTGAACCTACTATCATTGAATACATCAATTGTTCTATGATTAACGTGATGCATGCAGATTCAAACTATATTTCCTCTCTGAACGCATTAACCCTCAGTCCCCCTCTCTCTGTCGCTCATCCACACACTCACTCAGGCCATATGCTCTTATACCAGCTAGATAAAAGACAAACTTGTGGTTGCAATTGCGCCTGGCTTTGGTCCTTTTTCACACGGTTAGACTGCAATCTTAAAAGCTTGCGCATGGCATTTTGCAAGTTGTTTCTTTATAGTATATAAACTCATACTTAATGCAGGGCAGGGGAGTAAACTGAGATGGGCAACAAGACTAAATCTCCTTCCTGCACCATATTTCTCTGATCTTATTGTACCACCAGACTATTAGGGGGCAACTTTTTATATAAGCTACATTTCACATAATTTCTTATTATGTTAACGTTTACATTTAATAATGTTTAATTTGTATCTGTTTATTTCATTTAGGAATTATATTTGTTTGATTTTCAGTATTTATGAATATAAACAAAATTATAACCATCAAACATCTGATTCGAAAATGCATCAAAATAAACACATTTGATTGGCTGCTATTCAATTTCATTTAGATCCAGTCAAATGACCTGCTGTAGGTCACAGGGACTCACTACATTGAACACTTTCCCCTTCATTGCTTCAATAGTCTCTCTTACTGCCCTTACTGTCCTTATAACCCTCTCTATTCACCAACTTGAGTGTCCATTTCCTCTCACTGCAAATGTCCCTTTTTCTGTCACATTAGCGCACCTCTATTTCTATCCAATTCCCCTTTCTTTCTGTCGCTGTTTTCATCCCCTTCTCTTCGTTTAGCACACCTCCTTTGACCGGACACTGACCTGCTGCCAATTGCGCTTGATTTGTGCATATATTAAATCAAATGTGTCCACCTACCCATTAAAAAGACATCATACAGCAGCTATCTGTAGTTTCCTCTCTGGCTCACACCCAACTTGCAGTCCCTCTCAGAAAGACACACACACACACACACACACACACACACACACACACACAAACAGACGGACAGACAGGTGGATGTTTCTCTGAGGTTGGAGGAAGGATTTCAGATTTTC